GAAGGACTCCAGCGCATGTAAGCCCCATGGAGGCAGGGACCTGTCTGCTGGTGCGCACCATGGAGTCCTGAACCCTGGGAGAGTGCCTGACATGGACAGGCTGTGCAACAGCGAGGGGAGGGAGGGAGGGAGGGAGGGCGGGCGGGAGTAGGTGCTGGGCAGTTGGGTGGCATAGTGGAAGCTCCTGGTCAGATGGCACAGCGCAAGTCCCCGTCCTTCCAACTCCCGGAAGGACGCGCCCCTTGACTGTGGCCCGCAAGTGAGAAACGGGGAGCTTAAACAGGACAGCCCTAGCTCTTCCACCCCCAGCGCTGTGGGGTTCGAAGTTATGTGCGCTCTTGCGCAAGCCTTACCTCCCTTTCAAGGACTCTGGGACAAACTCCCCGACCCCTCATTTACTCCGAACACACCCAGCACTTCCTCATCTCCAGTACTTTTCTCACGTTTCCACTTCTCTTCCCCAGCGCTGAGAAAGCACAAAAAACCCTAAGTCCAGGGGAGGACGGAGGAGAATAAGGATCCCCCCAGGCTCAAGTGAGCCCTCCCTCCATTTCCTGGAAGCCGGAGGCAGCTGATAACAGCACCTGGTAACTAGCTTTGTCTTCATTTTCTTTGTCTCTTATCTCCCAGACCAAGTCTCCATCTACCACCCCAGCACGTAGGACACCAAGATCCGCTGTAAATAGTTCCTCATTTTACTGGATTTAAAGGGGAATAACTGGACTCCGTAGAAGCTAACTCTGCTTTTATTCCCTCAGATTGACTGTATTTTAATTTGTTGGAAAGACAGCCAACATTAGCCAAAGGACCTGGGCGAGAAGCAGCTTTGCCAGGCTCACCAGGTGACCTTTAACAGGTCACTTGACGCAAGGGCTCCTGAAGTAGAAGCTACCAGAGAAGGTGAAGCACATTATTTCCACTTCCAAAATCAGAGTGAAAGGGGAGAAAAGGAAACTTAGAGATTTCCAAACATCCGGGAGCTATTTTTGGAAATGAATGACTTTTCCATTCACTTAAAAAAGAAAAGGAAGGAAAGAAAAGGAAAGATATTAGACCAAGAACAGACCAAGAAGTGACTGTTGATCTTCTAAGTGGAAGAACTTTCTTCTAGGGTCCCACCCCTGTGTCCTTAAAACCAAGACCATCCCCCGTGTTCATATGAACACTACCTGTAAGTGGAAAGTGGAGAAATCGTTACTTGTTTATCCGAGAGTTTCTAAGATCCCAAAATAAACTCGGTGTGGTAAATATAGTAAACATCTTATTAATTAATACTAAATAAGGGAGCAATCAATGAGTCATCTGGCTCTGATCTGTGGGGCTCCAACCTGGCAAATTCCCGAACCATGGACTGCTTTCTCCTTAAAGCAATAGCCTGTCCAGAGGACTTTTAATATGCCACAGAATTCCTTTATGTGACGCACGTCAAATCTACCAGGTGCACAAATGGGTCCCTAACAGCTCCTGCCATGGTATCATCTGGGCCTTCCACCAGCACCACGACCATTTACCCTCTGCTTGGGCCTCAGATGTGACGTGGTCCCCATCCTGCAGCTGCTCGCACTTGGCATTTCCAGTAGTGAGGAATAAAAACTGAGCCAGAGAGCCCTGGCCAGGTGCTTCGGTTGGTTGGAGCATTGTCCCACACACCAAAAGGTTGTGGGTTCGATTCGAGGGCAGGGCACATCCCTAGGTTGCAGGTTCAATCCCCAGTCAGGGCTGAACAAGCAATTGATGTTTCTCTCTCACATTGATACTTCTCTCTCCTCTCTCACTCGCAGTCTCTCTTTCTCTCTCTTTCCCCCCCTTCCTCTCTCCCTCTAGAAGGTAATAATCAATAAACATATCCTCAGGTGAGGATTAAAATATATATGTATCTAAATAATAAAAAATAAAAATGAATGAGCTAAGGCAAACAGAACAAAGTTTCAACCACCCAGTCCATCGACAGGATAATACCAACAGCACCCCGAAGGAAGCGTACGTGTATATATACACAACCATAGGAGGCACTGAATTTTTCCAAAGGAAGCAAAAATGTTCTTCCCATATTTTCCGCCTAAATGGTAAATACCTTTTTATAAAGTGGTCATTGAACTCTGAGTTAATATATGTAGTACACATATGTGCCACTCATGTAAACCACATAAGACTCACCCACAGAAACGACCAGCCACAGAAATGGTGAATTAACTGTTTTTTAAGAAAGTTTTTGGGTCCAATCCCAAAAACTCTGAAAGTTATACTCACAGTGCTGATCTGCAGGGGTAGTAAACTTAAACCTAAGGCGGGTTGGGTTGATCATCAAACTGAAAGAATCCTGTTTTGAAAATAGTGGGATGTTTATAGCCACATCTGTAAAGATGTTTCCTTAGGCTTGCAACCCCTTTGTTGTGACTTGAAAAAGAAAGTCCAGCTACAATAATTCACCAGCACGCCCTGAGCTGGCAATATCAAATGCTGTTAAATACAACAATGAATGGAATGAATAGAAAACTCTAGAAGAGATTGTTTACCACCCTTGGCCCTTGGTTACTTTGCTTGCAGCAGTCTATTTTATGCTGTTCCAGTTCACGCTAAATTATATATGAAGTGTTTTAGGTCAGCAACAATGTGCACCTAACCGACTACACTGAAATTCCTCCATAATTTCCATTTCATTTTTCATTTTCTTTAAAACCCTATTTGTGTGCCTTTCTCCTGTCAGTTCTCTCTTTGGGAAGCTGTTTGGGGGGGAAGTCCTCACGTCTTGAACACTGTTTTCTGACTGTGTGAATCAAGGCGACTCAAAAGGGGTTTTAACTGTCAGATGCACATGGAGAAAACATGCTCCAACACAGTTTTCTCCATATAACAAAACAATTGCAACTTTAAAGGATACCCGGTCACCTATAAAGATCGGCAAGGGTTCTGTTTTGAAAGAAGAAGGAGAAGAATGACTATTACACCATTTACACCCTTCAGAGACTCCCCTTAAATGTTTGTGGCTTGCCGAACATTCCATACATATTTCGGGCAAGGTATTATGGGAGCTGAAGTGCAAGCTGTCCCCTGCTGAATTTTCACTCACTATAAAAACAATGTCTCATAAAAGTATACACATGTTTTTACTTTACAAAAAAATGTAAAATATCCACTTTTGTTCGCTCAAACGACACTTTTAGCATTAGAAACAAGGCTTTTTAGTATATGTGCTGCCGAGGCGAGCGCTGGAAACAAGACTTTTGAGAAATCTCTCACACAAGCGATGTCTGCAAACGGGGAGAATGTCATTGGGTAACACATTTCTGGAAGGAGAGACACAGGAAACGTGCATGAAATGAACGGAAAGGAGGGTTCCACACGCTGGCTTGTGTAGGATCTGCTTACCTATGTCCTGGGTCATACCATAAAGAGGGAAATTCTTACATTTACACGTTTCATCATGAATCTCCACTCCAATGTAACCACAACTGTTTTATATTACCCTCATAAAATGAGCCTTAGCCTTTTCTAAGCAAAACGGTATTTTTAATTGGTTCATTTTCCAGTTGTTTGGGTTTTTAACACACATACAGCATAAAAGGGCACCACATTCCTAGCAGTTCTAGCAATTCCAGAACCATCCAAGGCTTGATCAAACAGCTGTGGCTCTGGCCTTTGGTTAAAATTATAATATGATCTCACCTGATTTTCAAAATAACTAAGCATCCTTTTAACCCATAAAACTGCGCCAGCATTATCTGAGTTTCTGAGTTCAGAGTCTGCAATGTTCAGAGAGAGTGTTAGGGAAGCACAAGCCTTTTGCTTTGTTTTGCTTTGTTTTGTTTTTCTCTATCTGAACCCAGAGAAATATTCAAACAATAATTCAGCAGCTTCCCTCCTCCAACGTTTATTTTCAAACGCTAGTGGCATGCAGCGCTGCCTTTCCTGCGCAGGTAAGAGGAAGCAGGCACAATGTCACCACTCTTGGCCTTTTCAAGTCTTAAAATCACTGGGAAACCTGGAGTATATTTCCTTTCTGGCACCCAAGCAATGGACAGGAGTTGGTCCAAACAGGACAAGATATCACATAACCACTGGAAACACTCAGGTTCAACAGAATTCCCAATCCCACAAAAAATGCCTCCCTCCAAATGCTTCCCTCCCTGAGCCATTGAAAGAGTTGAAGAAAAGCATCCTCGTTACATGAACACAATTAAATGCAAGAATCCGTTTTTTACTGCATGGGATTTATTTACATAAATAATACGATAACGTCGTGCCCTGTTCATATCTTGCACAAAGAGGAAACCCAAAATCCAACTCTTGTTTTTCGATTTTTCCAAAAGCATCTGGGTCTAATCATAATCCATTCTGGCCACAATACACAAGGCTGTTTCAATCAGAATTTTAACTCAATGTTTAAGGCGCTACAGAGTACACTAACCATCCCGGTCTGGGAAGAGGCTCTCCCCACTCGCACAGGACTGGGAACCCCGGAGGTTGTCCCGACTGGCCGCAGTCTTCGGACGGAAACGAGGCTGAGCCCGCCAGACAAGGAGCCCACACCGCCCAGCTAGGGCGCACGTTCGTGCTCCAAGGTGACAGCTCATCTGGCCACGGCGGGGGCCGGAGTGCCCGTGGGGCCACAGCCGGGGGTGGTGGGCCGCACAGGCCCGGCAGCGATGGGCGAGGCCGCGGCGGAAAAAGGAAAAGAGGGCCATCCGTCAGCCCCGGGAGAGGAAATTCCAGGCGCCCAGCTCCCAGGCGCCGGTCAGCGGGTGACGTGAGGGAGCCCAGTCAGTGTGTCCGCCGCGGCGAGCACCGGGAGGAGGCTGGGGCTCCGCGCTGCGGGGCTCGGAGCCGGGACAGGAGGCGCCTCGATCCTCGGCCAGAGCCCCGCGGATGGGGGCGTGTGGGCTGCCCGTTCGTCGCCCAGACCCGGAGACCTCCCCGCGTCCCCGAGCCTCTCCCAGAACCCGAGGAACGGCACGTCCGGGACGGGGGCCCGGGGCCCGCACCCCCGCCCGCGCCCTTACCGGTCTCGGGGGTCGATCCACGACGTCTGGCGCGTGTTGTGGTCGATGTAGAAGACGCGGCCGTCGTAGTCGCGCGCCTCCTCCCAGCCGGCGGGCAGCGGCAGCTCGGAGCTCTCCCGGGCCCGCAGAGGGATCGCGGAGGGCGCCGTGGGCACGGGGACCACGACGGGGGTCGCGGGCTGCGGCGGTTCCCGCGGACACTGCGCGGACGACGGCGGCTCCCGCGGGGCCTCGCGCGTCGGTACCCGCCGCCGCCGGCGGCCGCCGCTCAGCCACGGCATGACGGCGCGGGCCCCGCCGCCGCCGCCCGGCCGCCCCGCGCGCGCCGCCTCCTCAGCCAGCACTAAGGCCCGGCGCCCGAGGCGCGGGGGCGGCTGCGGGGAGCCGCCCGCCGCGCCCGGTGCATCCTCCGCCCGGCGCCGGTGTACCGGCGCCCACCCGACGATCGCCGGTCCGGCGCGTCGCCGTCTGCGCGGCCGGCCCGCTCCGCTCCGCTCGCTCCGCTCGCTGCCGCTCGTGGAGTCACAGCTCTGCAACTGCCGCTGCCGCTGCTGCCGGCGACTCTTCAGTTCCCGCGGTGCGCCCGGCCATCTTCGTTCCTCGGCGCAGCCCGGCGGCGATGGGCGGGGCGCCCGCCGGCCCCGCCCCGGCCCGCCCTCGGCCCCGCCCCCTCCCGCTTCGGTCCCAGGCCCGCTGCGACGCCTTCCATCTCCCACAGCTGCTCCGCCCCCACTCTCCCCCGGGGCGCCTCCGCTCTCCCCTCCTCTCCCCCCAGCCCCCACCCCACGCGCCGCTTCCACTCCTCCGCCAGGCCCGCCGCTCCCGCTCCCCCAAGCCACGGCTAGTCCTCCCCGCCGGCGCCCCGCGCGCTCCTCCCTCTCCCCTCCCGCTCCACCACCTCCTCGGGCCTCGCCGGGAAACCGCACGGGGGCCAGGATGGGCGCCACCGCGTCCGTCCGCCCCCGGGCCACCGCGGAGAGGAAGGGGGGCCGGGAGGACGGCGTCCCACCCGGGCTGCAGGCGCGGCCTGCCTCGGGCTGCCTCCTGGGGCCCAAACAATTCCCGGGGGAGAGGGCGGTCACCTCACTTCACCCACTGCCCGAAGCCTGGGGTGATGTGCCCTGGGTCTTCCCAATATCCAGGATGGTCTCAGGAATGTGGGTAAAGCCCCCGAGGGGAGACCAACAGAGCTCGTAGCTAGACGAGGAACCCGAGGCCGGTCCCCTTGGGTGGGGCAGGGAGGACTACCTGGAAGTGGACAGCTGGGCAGGTGGCCACTTCGTGTCCCTGTCAGGAGAGCCCCAGAAGGACTCTTTCTGAATCGCCACTGTAGGCCAGGCCACCTGACCTGCCCTAAGCATTTCCACCTTCCAGTCGAGGATCCCGTAGTGTGAGTAGAGACCCAAGTAGGCCCCTGCTGGGGAGGAAGCCAGGACAACTCCTAAAACGTGAAACCTCAATGATCATTTCTGTTCCGCTCACATCTCGTAGCTAGGAAACTGAAGCCCAAAGTTAGGGTTCTCTGCTGCTCCAAAACCCCCAGCTACTTAGTGCTCCAGATCCCTGGCCGCAACACTGAATGTCAGGAAATGCAGGAAACTATCAGGGAGGTTATAAAGCTGCTACGGTGACACAACACTATCTGCTAAAAACTCCAACAGGGATGCAAACGGAGATGCACAGAGAAAGAGACTAGAGGGAAGCGATCCAACATGCTCACGCTCCTTTGCATTCTTTCAGGGGAATGAATTTTTTTTCTTAATTATTTACCTTCCCAATTGTTTGTAAAATGGTAATATTACTTTTAGAAGGGGAAAGTTGTTTTTTAAAAAAAAGAAGAATGTGAAGGCATGGAAACTGCTCACTGGGACATATCCAAGGAAGAAGGCCTTGCCTCCCCTCCTCCCACCACAACACAGAAACTCCCTTGCTGCCCGAGTCTCTGCACCCCCCGGCCCCCCTGTTCTACGCCGGAAATTCCATCACTGGAGTCCTTTTAGTGAAACCTGGACGGTTATGAAATGTCCAAGGGAAAGTGGGGAGAGTATCAAAAACCCAAATGCTTGGTGATTGTGTAGTTCCAGGGAATGCTCTGACATCTGCCCTGCCGATGGGCATGATTTATGGCCCGGACGGCTGCCGCTGCCTTCTCTTCCCCTCTCTTCCTGACCCCCTGCGGACGCCTTGCTACCTGACATGGCTCTCCCAGGCACCCTGTCATCTCAGAATGTCACAAATCCGGGCACTCCCACTGGAAATGCCCCGAACATCTACAGACGAAGGTGGGAAGAGAGGCAGAGCACCCCCACACAGCAACAACTCCCAACTCCCGGAAGAAAAGGCAAACAGAGACGCATCAATAAAGAGGAAGGGGCCCTGGCTGGTTAGCCCAGTTGGTTAGCTCATCATCCCCAATACACCAAGGTTGTGGGTTCAATTCCCCAGTCAGGGCACATACAAGAATCAACTACTGAATGCATTTACAAGTGGAACAACAAAGCAATGTCTCTGTTTCTCTCTCCCACACTCCACATCCCCTGAAGCTCCATCCATTAGGAGCTGAGGCCTTCCGCTGAGAGTGACAGGTGGGATGGTGTGATGTAGCCATTCAGACTGGCAGCAAGGACACACTGCGGACCAACCGTGCGCAGGCATCGTGCTGGTGTTGGGGTGCCGCAGAGAACAGGACAGAGTCTGTGCACTCCCCATGGCCCAAGTCTGGAACTACACAAAGCAATAAGCACTTATGACTTTGACTTGTCTACAGGTGAAGCCAGGGCGCCAGCCTCACACTGGAGACTCAGGAGGCCGTGGGAGACCGAAAGGAAGGTGTCTCGGGTGAGAAAACCCAGGCACCGGGACTCAGGTCTTCAGATTCCTGAGTCCTGAGCCCTGATTCCTCAGCTCGTGGGGCTGCTGTCATCAAACACTTGTCAATCTGTGTAGCAAATGCAGCACCCCACCCAGACCCCCTTAGCTGGGGCTGCACCCTTTCAGAGGCCTCCCGGTGGCCGACAGATGTGTGAAACGGCCTGCCCACCCTACAGGGACCCATTTTGCCCTACGGCAGCCCAATGCCCTTGCCCTGGTAAGACAAATGCTAATGCCCTTCATGCTCCTGAGCTGCCAAGGACGACGCTGGCTTTGCTAGCTCCTCCCCACCCTAGCCTACCTCCATGCCCGCATCAGCCAGCATCCCCAATCAGTCACTCACTCGGTACAAGAACCCCCAGCTCACGTACTGCTTCGAGGAGGCCTGACGTAAGTAAGACAATCTGCTTCCCTGGCTCTCCTCCAAGCACTTAGCAAATATGAATCATTTGATCATCCAAATGACATCTGCATACCTGTACCCTAACGACACTTGCCTGCCAGAGACGACAGATCATACACGTCACTGAAGAAGCTTTATTGGCAGCCCCTGGACTGCTCTGATGCAGGTAAATGAAGGAGGCTTTTTTTTTTGTCTTCCTAAAATGAGCCAACTTGGAAGATGCCAGAACTTGGGGTGACCAAGGTCTGCCTACTGGCCCATTCATCCTTTTGATTTGTAATGTTCGCCCAGGCAGCTGCTGATTGTCCTTAAAGACCTGTGTGGGGCTGGGTAAGATGGAAGAGAAGTTGGGAAGGGGTAAAGGGTCTCTTAACTCCGCAGCTTTGCCGTAAGTTGGGAAATCGTGTGTGTGTGTGTGTGTGTGCGTGTGTTAATTGTTAGGGAGAATAAGGCCTGTCTTTCTTATAGTCAAGTGGGGCTTTCCGTGTTGGACAAAAAGCACATGCACACACAACACACTGTAGGGGAAGGAATCTTTAGTCTTAGCTGAATGCACAATTATGCATTCTTTATTGCCTCCATATGAAAACCTCAGCCTCGCCAACGACAAAAGCACAAACATTGTAGTGACCTCTCCTCCCACCAAGAGTTCGGATGGAAAAATGGCTCAGGAAAAATCCACTTGGGCGCTGGGTCATCGAGATGCAAATCCTCGTCCCCCTCACAGACCCTCTGGGAAATCCCTTGCAGAATATTTTCTGTAAAAATGCCGGTTGAGGAGTCAACCCAGCACACTCCTTGCATGTCAAACAAGCAAGTACAGAGTTGGAAGACTTTTTTACTCTCAGTTGGATTCGGCCTCTTCCCCCTGCCCCTCTTCCCAAAGGGTAACCTTTGTTTTAGGAAGGAAGGAACCAAATTGCCTCTGTACACATTCAATACTTGAGAGGCTTCTAGAAAGGAGAGCACCGAGAAGGCTGCGATCATCGTGTCTAAAATGAGAGAAATAAATACTGCCAAAGAAGTTCTTGCTTACTTGTGTAAACAATCAAGTGTTCTAGGAAGTGACACATTGGGTAATTCTGTACAATGTGCTAAGAGGAAAACGGAAATGGGCCAGATTGGGTCTGAAGAAGAAATGGCTCATTGTTTGGCGTTCTTCAAATGCTGTAATAATTACTCGGGTATGGGCGCTTCCCATGTATTTAAATAATGCAAATCCACGCACTTGGGAGGAGATTAAATGTAATTCTTGCTAATTCCTGTCTTGCTGGTTTAGGGACTGCGAAGGAAGAGAGAAATGCGGAGGTCCCTAAGTCCACACCTCTCCCCCCCACCCCCACCCTCAGGCTCAGGAATTGGAATGGGGAAGGGCTGGGGTTATTCCTGGGGCCTTTATTTCACGCCTTTATCTCTTTAACTTTAGACACTTATTTGACTTGTGATCGGAAGAGCCGTTGGTGAGATTTGATGTGCGGATGGGGAGACCGGGAGCACTTTTCTCAAATGGGACTTCCTTGATTGGTATAGCTGCAGCCCGTCATCTGGAGATGAAGGGTTTTTCTCATTTGCTAGTCCGCTGCTGCCAAGAGATGCAGGGTATTCCAGAAGAGCCAGCTGTGTGGCTAAGCCAGGCAGTCTGCGTTTGGTCCATTTTAGTGTTTCATCCTGCTCTGTGTCGGCTTCTCAGAGCAGAGCAATGTCCTTGGAAGCGGCCCATGGCCGTCCTATTGTAGGTGGACTCCATTCGTACCTGGGTGATTAAAATCCAGAATTTAAAAAAAAAAAAACACACAAAAAACCGCTAGACCAATTTCTCTCCCAAACTTAGAACACACCCACTTCCTTCAATGTCCAGGTCTCCTCTCCTAAAGCTCCATTTGTACTTCTTTTCCTTTGCAACCCGGGGGTTATGTTCAACAAAATGCTAACAAGCCCATTGGAAATGGATTGCAGGCAAACCATCATTTCAGGAAGACACAGCTGCCGTGAGCCAGCATACTCCAAAATGCTTCCTCCTGGCTGCGTTCTCTCCTGTTTAGGATTATGACTCTGGTCCCCCGTGTATTTGGGAAAACAGATTCTTAAACTGCAGACCTCTGCTTTGGGAGCCAAGCAGAGCAGCTTGGAAGTCTCAGGCTTACGGAAACAAGCAGGAGGATTTAGCCAACACAGAAATGAACAGTCTCTGGGTCATTAACAATTTTTTTTTCATTTGATGACACTAGCGTTATAAATTAGTCTCTTTTGTAGCATGAATGGAACCGTTTTGGAACACATGTAACCTCACTAGATCCTAGAGCAACAACCCGAGATGGTGGTTATA